GTCAGGCTGATGTAGACGCCGGGGCGGTTCCGCTCTGCACAGCCCTCGCCCCAGCTGATGATGCCTGCCAGCAGCCAGGTACCCTCGACCTGGCACATCAGGGGTCCCCCGGAGTCGCCCTGCAGAGAGGAGGGGGCTAGGAACGTGCGTGGGGCAGCTGCCAGGGTGCCCTTCCCAGATCTGGCAGCTTTGCTACCCCGCCTCTCTGAGGGGAGCAGGGGCAGCCTCCCAGGGTCTCCTCAGGGGCCCTGCCACCCTGCGAGCCAGCTGCCTGGCCCACCGTCGGGGATGCTTAGGCTGAGAAGCCACCTGCTGCGGCCAGTGGAAACTGTAGCGGCCGGCAGAGTCCTGGGGGACCCTCACCATCCAACCCACCCCCCGCCAAGCAGGAGCTGGGGCCAGAGGGGAGACCCCCGGGGGGAACGCAGGGGCCACGGCCGGTGGCCGGCGGAAAGGCCGGGTCTGCCTGGTGCGCAGGCCAGTGAGGGGCCGGCCGAGGCCCGCTCTGCAGGCTCCGGGCAGTCACAGCTGGCCCTGGGGAGCCAAGCGGGGTGCTCACCAGACAGGCGTCACGTTCACCCTCCAGGTAGCCGGCGCACAGCATGTCCTCTGTGATGGCCCCCTGCCCCGCTCCTCGCCAGTAGAGGCGGCCACAGACTTCAGGGTCAATGATGGGCACCTTCAGCTTCTGCAGGGTCTGGGGGTGGGACAGGGCCACTGGGAGGGGGGAGGGTCAGGCTTGGGACTTGCTCCTAGTCACCTCCACCGTCCTGCCCCCCAAGATGGGTGGGTCACCCCTCTGGCCTTGGCCTGTGCCCACTGGGTGCCCAAGTGCGCAGAGCTGCGCCTGACTGGCGCCTCTGAGGCCACGGGAGGGCTCCCCTCTCGGGCCCTGTCCACAGCGAGGACATGGCCCCAGGCAGTGGTCACTGGTCGAACCCCAGCGTAGGGTTGGGCCCCAAAGCCGCCCTCAGGCCCCCTGCTCCAGCCAGGGGTGGGCCCGGAGTGGTCTCGCCCTCACCGGTGGGGTCCCCAGACATGCGCTCTCACCTCCGGAGTTGGGGTAAAGGCCCCCTGTCCCTTCCTGGGGTCACCCCCCATCCTTCAGTGAATCTGCTTTGTGTTTCTGGGTGACATTTTCTAAAGCTCCGTCTTGGTTCCACAATTACATGTCGCTGTCCTGTTTCCTCGCGGGGGCCCTGCCTGCCAGTGCCACGCCACCCCGGGCCCGTCCACGGGGTGCTTAGCCAGGGCCACGCAGGCCGCTGAGGCCTCTGCTCCGTGTCGCCAGGACACGCCGGACACTCCCACTCACGTCTAGAGCGGCCACTCGGCTCGGCCCGGCGTCCGGGTCCAGGCCTGCTTCCTCCCGCCCCGGGCTGCCCTGCCGGCCCTCGCCCGCCCACCTGCCCGCGGGCAGCCGCACCTCCGTCGTGGACGCTGCCCCAGCCGGCGATCCAGCAGTCAGTGTCGGGAGGCAGCTTCACGGAGGCGTCCGGCAGGCAGATGGGCAGGACCCGCTCGGAGAACTGGACGGGGCGCTCCAGTCGCACCAGGGCGATGTCAGCCTGCGTCGCGTCCCTCCAGGAGTACACGGGGTGGGGGTGCGCCCAGGCGATCCCCACCTCCTGGGCCCGCGGGCCGGGGTTCCCCAGCTGCCAGGCCCCCAGCAGCACCGAGAAGTCGGAGGGCTTGTTCAGGTGGCTGGAAGGAAGGAGGGGTCAGCCAGGAGCGGGCGAGGCCGGGCTCTGCCCCACCGCCGGGCAGGGGCAGGCGCGCGTACCCCTTGAAGCAGTGGGCGGCGGTGACCACCCAGCGGCTGGTGAGCAGGGAGCCGGCGCAGTGGTGAGAGCCGTTCTTCCGGAGGCTCACGACCCAGGGCCACTCGGCGTCCACGCTGTCCTCGCCGCCCACGATGCGGTTCAGCTGCTGGGGCTTCCCACAGGCCGGGGGTGCTGTGGTGCAGGCGGGGAGGCTGCTCCTGGGCTCCTGGGCTCTCACTGCCCGCCCCGCCCTGCGCCCTCCGGCTCACCCCTAAAGCTGGCCTCCCTGGCCCTTCCCGCCTCCCCGCGCCCACACCTCCCTGCCTCTGACCCCCAGGCGGCCTCAGCCCCGGGTCAGCCCTCTGGGCCGCACACAGACAGTCCGGCAGCTGCCCCTGCCCCTCATTGCCTACTCACCAGGTGTCTGGACAGCATGGAGGGCTGAGGGAGAGAAGGCCCGGGTCAGCAAGCGTCATGAGCCCCAGGGCCCAGTGTCCAGGCCCCACAACCCCCCGGGGACTCCCCTGCGGCCCTGGGCCGGCCAGAGTCCGGCCTCCGTCCAGTCTGTGTCAGCTGCTACCTGCCCAGGTCGGGCTGGGGGTGACAGTGGGCAGGACACAGCGGGACTTCCTGCAGCCGGGGGAGCCGGGCAGTGCCCTCAGCCCTGCTCCTAGGGCCTGCCTGTCACTGTCCTTGCAGCTGAAGAGGAAACTGGGCTTGAAGCAAGCAGACAGCATGCAGGGGTGGGCAGGAGGAGGGGGGAGGTGAGGGAGGGTGGGAGAGGGGGAGCAGGAGGGAGGGGAGCAGGGGGGAGGAAGGGGAAGGAAACGGGGAGAGGGAGGAGGGGAGGAAGGAGTAAGGGGAGGCGGGGAGGGAAAGGCAGGGAGGAGGGAAGGGAAGAGGGAGGGGAGGGGAGAGGAGGGAGAGGCCCAGGGCTGCAGACTGGCTGGGTCCAGACAGGTAACAGACAGAAGAGGGAAAGGGGAACAGCGGCGCGGGGCGCTGCAGAGCCAGGCCCAGGGACTCACCCCAGGGGGCCGGGAGCAGGAGCAGCAGGGCGGTGAAGGCCCCCGGGCCGCCCAGGCCCAGGGCCCGGGGTGCGCTGGCCACCATGGCCTCCTGTCCCTGCGGGCAGTGTGGGGAGCCCAGCCCAAGGCCCAGGGTTTTATCCTCGGGAGAGGGAGGTGGAATGCGGTCAGACCAGTCCCCAGTGGCCCAGCCGGCCCTGCAGCCCTGGGACATGACGTGAGGGAGGCAGCAGGCTGGCTGCCGCTATGGGGCCCTGGCCCCCCAGACCGGCCTGTTCCGGCAGTGGCGTGGCGCAGGGTCTGGGGGGCTGGGCTGTCAGGAAGAGACCCCTGGCCCGCAGTGAAAGGAGGGGCCTGGGCTGGGCGGCCTAGAGGCCTGGGTCCGGGGGGCGCCTGGCCTGTGGGGGGTCTTGGGGCAGCCCCAGGGCTGTGGGGTTCTGGGGCTGGCTCCCCGGGAGCAGCCCAGCCCTGCCTTTGTGACTCAGCCAAGTGGGGACCCGTTACCCCACTTCCCAGCTGTGAATCAGGCCTGTGACCGCTGGTGCCCGCCTCAGGCCCTGTCACTGAGCCCCACAGGGGGAAGCCTGGGGTGGGTATCACTGAGGTGAGCTCCTGGAGGGCTGGCAGGGCTCATAACCCCCCTCAGCCTCTGCACTTGTGGGAGCCCTGACACCCCAAGGTCCTGCGACTCTGGGGAGCTCTTTTCTTTTTTTAAGATTTATTTATGTATGCACACAGAACTGGGGTGCAGGCCAGACGTGCAGGGTGGGAGGACCCCCAGAGTCAGCGTGGGGAGCAGGACAGGCGGATGGACTGAGGCACACTGCGGAGGGGAGCACGGAGACGGGGGTCTGCTGGCCCCGTGGCCACTCCCCGGCCACCTGTGCGCTGACGGCTCAGAGAGCTGAGACTGACCCCTGCGCCCCAGGGAGGCCCTGAGCTGCCCTTGAGGACCCCAGGAGGCCCAAGGGACCTGAGCCCCACTCTGGACGCAGCTCCGTGGCGCCAGGGCACGGTGCCTGTTAGGCGGAAGTGGGTGTTGGGGTGCCGCGGCGCCTCACCGCCCGCCCGGGACCGGATGGCAGCAGCAGGGGCCGGGTCCAGCGCATCGTGCCGCCCTGGGCCTTCGGGGTGCTCTGCAGGCTGCCGCCTCCTCGGGTGCCAGGACCCCGCTGGCCCGGAGCCGCCTGGACTCCAGCACCTTCCGGTCCTGCGTCTCACTGCGTGGGGGGAGGACGGCGAGAGGAGGACCCGCAGGACGGCAGCCACGCCCCTGGGCCCCTCACCAGCCCCTCCAGGACAAGGTGGTTGGCCCCCAACGCTGACACACTCCCTGGGCGCCGCGTCAGCCCCCCAGGCGGCCTGCCCTGGCCGAGGGCGCAGTGCCGGCGCCGTGTCCTGGCAGGCACAGGCCCGGGACCAGGCCAGAGGTCTTGGGGGAGGGGTGGCCGGAGCGACCCTGCATCACCCCAACATTGGGTACTGTCTGCGGGGACTCCTGGAGGAGGGGGTCGGGGAGGCGCCCTGAGCCCTGGGCGCCCGGGGTTTGTTGAGAGAATAAGTGAGTGCAGTGAGGGCCGGGAGGAGCCGCCAGCTGCGCCCACCCCTGCTGCGCCCACCCCTGCTGCCCAGTTCCCTCCCCGTCCCAGCTGTTCCTGCCTTTCATCAGGCCTGGGCAGCGGCCCAGGTGACCCACGGCACAGGCATGTGCCCAAAGAGGTTGCTGTCTCTGAGGCGGGGTGGCCAGGAAGGGCCCGCAGGAGCCCAGGAAGTCCCGAGAGCGCCGGCGAGCACTTCCTGGCGCACGTCCTGGGCAGGGGCCGACAGGGCGCCTGGCCCCGGGGAGGGGACCCTGGCACGAGGCCTCATTCCACAAAGCCCTGAGTGCGCCCCCACACGCCGTCACCCCTCCTGGCTGGCCTCCTCCCTGGCGAGACACCGGCCACGCACGGGGCCAGAGTGTGGGGGCACTGGGGCGGGTGTCCAGCGTGAGGGGCTCCGGCCTGGGCAGGGCACCGCAGAGCGGCACCTGCTTCCGGGCAGGGGGAGCAGGGGGAGCAGGGGGAGTGCCCCCCGCCGGGGCACCAGG